TTTGCCTGTTTGACGACCTGGTTAGTGACTCGCATGGTCTGATGTCCATTCCACTTTCCTGAGGACACATGTTTATCCTCCCTGGTTTCCGGATTACCCAACTTGGGTTTGTTCCCCGGGTTTCTCACCTTCCCAGACCCGGTGGGTTTGACTGGAGTTGAAACTCGCTTGCTTTAATTTCGTACAACGGTCGCCCATTCTCCATCTTGACCACCCGTGTTTGGTACGACCGTTTCATTTTGCGCCTCATCTGTTGATGACAAAATCTGAGTGAAGGGCTGTAGGACAGTTGATGTTATTTTAGTACTGTGCTGCACCATGTCCTCCGTCAAACCATACCCTTACTCTTGTCGAGTGACCTGAGTACTTTTTCCGTCAGACGATCTTCTGACTCCATAACCCTCGTACTTAGGCGCTGCTTTTGAGTTCTCCAGCCTCCCTTTTTTATGATCTGCTTTCAGTCTGTTTTTTAATTCCGATAACTTTCTGATGATGTCTTCAAGAACATCGTCTAGTGCAGATCTACACAAGCGGCAATATCACTTGCTGCAGGGCTTAGTGAGTTTTGTGTACTCAGTTTGTGTTAGGTCAGTGCAAGCGGTATGGAACCATCCGTTACACGTGTCACATTACACACCCGCCTGAACAGGTTGACGGCAGTCCTGCCTCTTGCACATCTGTTTGGCCGCCATTTTCGTTGAACTTGTAAAAGGGATATAAAGTAAAATATAAAAAATTGAGGATATAATCTCTGGGGAAGCTTCAGGAAGAGTAGAAACCTTGACGTTATCAGATCAAACCAAAACTGGGACGGAGTTAAGGCCTCGTTATCCTAGTGTGAACAAAAATACACGCAAAGAAGGGTAAGCTCATCGAACTGGAAGCTCGAGAGAATACTTCTACTGAAAATCGGGGCTATCGTTGCGTTATACACATCGAAAGCTAAATTGCTAAATCGCGGTAAGATTACACTTCCTTTCGAAAGCGAGCCAGTATCAAGCGGTCTTCAGTCTGCAATGAAAAGGTTGGCAGGTCATCAGCCAGTAGTAATCCCTACGATGATTGTCTCTCTGGGAGTTCTATGTTTCTTTGAATGTGGTCATGAACAAAGCTGCTATCACTTGCTTCGGTAGAGCGTTCCAGTCATGGACCGCTGTATGGGAGAACCAGTAACCCACTTGAACATGATTCGACCCTGGCTTTTGGATCACATTTGGTGTCCTGAAGAAAACCCGTGCTATGGAAAATAAACAACTGAAGCATGAAACATTTTGTCCTCTTAGGTGTTGCAGACAACTGATTTTCTTCACTCGAGTTGTCTGTTGATTGACCTCTAAGCCAGTATTATCAGTTAAACCTCTCAGGTTTCGTCTTCGTCTTTGTATGTATCCTTCACAATTGTTGTTGCAAATAGGCTAGGGTTAATGAATGGTATTTTGAGATATCGTTGGCAATTATCGGGCCCCCAGTTACTCTTCCAAATCCCACAGGATATACCGAAGTCTCTGCCAGTCCTTCTCGAAATGTTTCAAGCCTAAGTGAATGAACAGATTTAGTAGAGTACCCACGAGTGCCTTCTGGGCGTAGTTCTCGCTTCTGCAGAGAGAGGAGAGAGACTGCACTCTCAATCTCCAGGTAAAGTCGTGCGAAGCTATCAAAAGCTTGGTGCAAACATGTCATCGAATTGTCCAAAAATTTGACCGAGATCCAATTGTGCTAAATTTCCAAGAAATGTGTTCGTCGCAGTTGGCATGAGGCTATACTGCTTTGGGGTCTGAAACCCTCAAATCCTTCATATATGACGCTTCTAGTTCTATGCCATAAAGATTACGCACATAACATGCGTCACTTTGTAGATGTCCAGCCTTGCATTTTTTAGGATCAAATGGAATCCCATTACTATCGGCCGGTTTTGGAAGTGGGTTAAGTCTTTTTGTACGGGAGCTATCTTCTTCTACGAAGTTTCACATCCTGGGCACAAAAAGTCTCATAACGAACCTGTTGAGGCAAGTCGTTCATGTATATCAGAAAAAGAAGAGGGTGTTGGTGCCAAACCCAGAGGAGCTCCACTTGGACATTACTTGACCCAAGGAGAGAAAATTTACTCGAACTGTAACCAAATGGCTACGTAGATATTAGGACAACTAGTCGATGGGTGGCAGTTCGATCGACAGGGCAGTTACGATTAACATGATCATATGTCTTTGAAATGCCCAAGTAAATAATATTAACCCTTCCTTGACAGTTCACAGTCCACTGCTTTGGAACACTTGGATAAGAGCTTTGCCAGTCTCCACTCCTCTGGAATGATTCCCTCACTTTGCTCGAAGATCTGCCTTTTGTGACCCAACTTCAAGGGGTTGGGCGCTTTTTCTTGACTTGTAGAATTCCCATACGGCTTGTCAAAAGATTCATTTGAGATTAATGTATAATATCTGAAGACTGCCGAAAGGATTTTGTCCGACTCCGAGGGGGTGTCTTTCGTGAGTGGTAATAGGTTGGGCTAAACTCTCATTTCAACAACTGAGAGTCCTGCTTGACTGTTGGGGTATTCACAAACTCATGAGCAGGTGGTCGATGATGAAAGGATTCACAAATGATGACCAGCTAGGAGCTCAGCCGCTTCATTGTCTCTACTAGCCGAAGTAGCATTGTAACTTCTATTCGTAGAGATCTCTGCGTGTTTGAAATAAGAAATTCCAACGTTTCTGGAGAGATTTTGGTACTAGCTCCTCCCCGGAAATAGTCAAAATCTACGTTGCCATACACACATATAGCAGGTCAAAAATCGTATTGTTCACCTCATTGTCCAGTAGTGACTGAATCACGGTTATTATCCGATCGTGTTAATAGTCATTCACATCATGGTACAGTGATACATACGACGCATGAATGTGAGCCTGTATGTGTATGTAAGTTGATTTTCTGGTATGTTAGTACAATACATGAAGAATATGGGCTCGTTTTAAGTATATGGTACCAACATCGGTTCATTCTGCTTTTACACGTGGACAAAAATAACACTTATAACCTCCATCAGTTTGTATGAATGGATGTCAGAAATGCAACTCAAACACACATGCATACATACAGGCTTACATTCATGCACTGAGCTCATCAATGCGCCACGGTGCGAACGATTGACAAACCTATTGGAAAACAGTCCTAATCCAGTTACGGTTGAACAACGAGATGACTGGGATTTATATAAAATAGCATCAGGTTATATCCATGTCTTTGAATTTCGGTGCCTTCTTAACCTTGTGGCAGATTCGCTGCGTTATCTTTTACTATAGTAAAGATTCCAGACAGCGCAGAATATTACTGCCTTGCCAACATAAAATCTCACTTTTCACGTGCTATGGAGAAACCAATGAAAAAGGCAATCCCCCCCCACATTTCTAAACAGACATAGGTTCTTGGCAAGCTTCGCAGAGAGTGCAAATATTCTGTTAAGGATACGTTTGGGATCCTACCTCCTACATATGTAAGGTCTCATATAAAGTAAAGCATTCGGATTGCTAGTTCGGGCTTCAGTAAGAAATCTGCTGCTCTAGAGTGGGTCAAAAAGGTTGCCAGTAAGTAAGTGGCGGCTTTTGCACACCTTCTTAACGATGAGCGACTAGGAAGTCCAACATTTTTGTCCCCTTTCGAGTCTCAGGGGCAGAACAGGTTTCAGACTTTCACATTCTGAATAATAACTCAGGCACTGACTGCCTCAGTCCTGCACTTTCCGCACCAAGATCTCTTCAGAAACGTTGGAATTTCTTATTTCAAACACGCAGAGATCTCTACGAATAGAAGTTACAATGCTACTTCGGCTAGTAGAGACAATGAAGCGGCTGAGCTCCTAGCTGGTCATCATTTGTGAATCCTTTCATCATCGACCACCTGCTCATGAGTTTGTGAATACCCCAACAGTCAAGCAGGACTCTCAGTTGTTGAAATGAGAGTTTAGCCCAACCTATTACCACTCACGAAAGACACCCCCTCGGAGTCGGACAAAATCCTTTCGGCAGTCTTCAGATATTATACATTGATCTCAAATGAATCTTTTGACAAGCCGTATGGGAATTCTACAAGTCAAGAAAAAGCGCCCAACCCTTGAAGTTGGGTCACAAAAGGCAGATCTTCGAGCAAAGTGAGGGAATCATTCCAGAGGAGTGGAGACTGGCAAAGCTCTTATCCAAGTGTTCCATAGCAGTGGAGTTATTATTAATTGATTGACTAAAGGATGGCCTCGCTGCCACTAACTTCTGTCTAGCTGTTATTTCACTACAGTATATGTTCTGTACATTCGCCCTCGTCTGGAAAGAAATTCGCTTGTGATTTCCACATACTTGAAAAAGGACATAGGCACAGGGTACAGAGAGGAGCTACAAAGAAAGTGGTTGGGTTACGACACAAACCGTACCCAGACCGCTTAGTTGCTCTTCAGCTGCACCCGGTACAATACCGGAGGATCAGAGAGGATATGATCATGATGTACCACATCACCCATAATCCCCTCCATCCTAACAGATTTATTTTAGGCTTTAGTCAGAAACGCGATCTGAGGGGTCACACCTTAAGAATAGAGCACTGGAGAGCACGTACAGAGATCCGTGCTAACTCATTTGCGGTTAGAGTTTGTAAACTGTGGAACTCCCTCCCTTCAGCAGTTGTTACAGCCCCATCCCCCGATACTTTTAAAAGGAGTTTAGATGCACACCTCGAGTCCTACGGTACCGATGGGCTGTACTCGAGAAGCTTTCCCAAGATGAAATGCAGTAACACTACCTTGAGACCAGATTAACTAATAATCGTATCTCTATTCTTTCAGGTTTTTCAGAATCGAGGAGATAACTGTGACCATTCCAAACTCAGAATGTATTCCAATAAGACAAACTTAGAACCCAAGGAACCGCCGCTCACTAATTCCACAACACGAAGTTTGAAGTTTGTAGTTTGAGAGTTGAAGAGCGCAGAGTTTGGTTTCTGCGGTACTCCGGTCAGTCGGGATGAGTGACTACTCGGATTCAGACCTGTCCGCTAACCAGTCTCCACCCAAGAAGAAAGGCAAACCCCAGAAGTATACTAAAAATGATCTTTCGGATGATGAAGAGGAAGAGGAGGAGGACGACGAGGAAGATGATGGGGTTGATGAAGATGAGGAACCTGGCTTGACGTCGAAGAAAAAAAGGCGGATGAACTTCGCAATCAAGGTGATTAATAGAGAGTTGGAGAAGCTTTATGCTCAACTCATATTCATACTCAATTTATGTTAAGTTGGTTTTTTACTGCTGTGTACTTGTCGAGTGGGCCTACACAGTTCGCTGGTATGCTATGGTGATGAAGTTTCAAGGTAATAATATCTCCCCGATTTAGATATCTAGTTACGAGTGTAGTCGCAATTTTGTGTCGTGCCGAGGTGGCGTGACTCGTTCTTTCTCAACCTGAAGTTGTACTAATTGAACGTTATCACTATTTATTACCTTTAGAAGTGCGCCTTATTTTCATGAGATTTCTGTCATATAATAAGATCTGAACGTAAAAAACGTATGCGTATAGTAAAAAGTTGTCAAGCTGAAAGTATGGCGGTGCCTCCTACTGAAAAGGGTATCGAATACGTAACTCTTAAAGGGTCAGTACTGAAACACCGGTGAGTATATCAAAGCCTATGGCGAGTCGTCAGGTAACTTGTACACGTCGAGTAGTGTCCATTTCCACTCAACTTTATGTTTGTGGTGGTCTCCCTGTCGTCATCTGACTTTACATGGATTGATTGACCTTATCATAGGAGAACCCTTATTTGATCTAGAGTACTCAGATGGGACACTCTTACTAGATAAAATGCTGATAAAATGGTGAGTCTTCCAAAAAATTTGATTGGCAGCTTAAGAATATCTGAGATGCGTCCCTTGCCACCCAGATGTAGGTTTCTGCTCCAGGACCGGTCTTCAGCAGTGTCCTGGTTAGTAGTAGGGAGGGAAATGGTCAAGCGCTTTAAACACTTCATTTACCTGGGAAGTCGGGTCAGTTTTGGCGACTTAGTGGCGGGCGAAATTCCTGCATGGATACAAAAGACTCGATTGGTTTTCGCTAACTTACACCACTTATGACACTGCCGTGATACCCAATTGTCGATTAGGGGTCGAGTGTACTGGGTTACAGTTCTCTCTGTTCTGCCGTATGACTGTGAGACATGACCATTGACTGTAGAGGATGTGAGGCTTTAGGTATTCGACCACCGTTGCCTTCGTAGTATAGGGAGTGTGTTATGGTGTCACCACGTCATTAACGCAGAAGTCAGGTGTAGAGTTTTAGAAAGGAGAAGAAAGTGAGTTGACCAAGCTGTGGACCTTCATCGACTGAGTTGTGTATGAAATGTGTTACGCATGCCTTGTCGCAAAATGTTAGCTAAGGTAGATTTATATTAGAGAATAGTTAGGGGCGGCAAGACTAAAACATGGCACCATCAGTTCATGAAATCGTTAACTGTTGGTTTGAGTTGTGTAGGGGAATGTAGACCTCCGGGTTGGGGTCCAGGTGACAACAGAAACCAGGGGTTGGAGGCTGTTATTAAAATGGCTCGGAATCGATCTAAGTAGCGCAGATACATCTACAGACTATCCTTATCTTTGGCGTCAAACTGAATTCAGCACTCTATTTTTCCTACTTGTTATGTTATCACGACTTCCGACTGGTTCTTCTCTGTTTTTCTTCCTTTTTTTTGTCTGATGTGCTGATATGAGGTGTGGCAGCTTGGACCGTTATGCAGTAATACTTGGTCCAATGTTAATGATGAGGCTGAAAGTAAAGAAATTAACACAAGTCAACGATTACTCAAAAAAGAAATGTGTAAGCATTAAGGTCGATAAAGTTAGGTGTACACTGGTTTTCAGTATGGTTGTGGTGTAACAGGTAAGTTTATCAGGTGCATGAAACCATCTGTTAACAGTAGTGTTACTTATACACATATATCAGTGACCATATACTATTAGCTGAAGTAGAGTTACGATAGGAGAATGAAAAGCAATCAAACTAAAATAATCAACGTATAAAGTCTGGTTGTCAGTTGGAATCATAAGAAACATGAAGTTTTATGGTTAGTGCATGCTAGGAAACATATTGGTGGTGATTTGGTGTGTTAATTCAGATTTATACTGTTCAGAAATCAAGCATACTACCTTTCACTCTGCTTTTTTAAATATCGCTTTCTGATGAACTTGTTTTCATCATTTTCATTGACCACATCTCTCTTTTTGACTTGGCTCAAGCTATGTGTAGAATTGTAACTCAGCGAATAGGTGCTAATTTGTTCACTAGAAAGTAAGCCTGATATCACGAAGATTTTTGATACCTCTTTGGTACAGACATATCGGTAGGTGGGATTGGATTTGAAACTAATAACTGACTGGTTAAAAGTTCATCACCCAAACTGATGAGCTTCAAATGTGGAATGTAACATTGTATGAATAAACAATTGTGATAAATCTTATGTCGAATTACCTACCTCTGGGTGACATATCCTGAAAACCTAATCAACGCAACCTACTGTTCCACACGAAATATTAATTTATAAAGTGGTCGAACTCGGTGACCACCTCTCTTACCTTAAAGAATGCATCAGCTTCAGTGAGCTGGTGATCGATAAAATCTTGGCACACAAAGTTCTCATTTGATCTTCTCCCAAATTACGCCACTAATGGTGCAGGTGAGATATTTGAATGTCAAGCATAATGCACGTCTGTTCACTTTGTCTTGTTCTATGGCGGAATGATAATTATAGATAGAGTGTTTAGAGTCTCTCTAGACGTCTAACCACCGTCGCTTTTCTGACATCGCATTTCTTTAGTGAAACTACTGCTTCAGCAGAGTGGTCTTTTCATAGGTAAGGGTAGGCTAGTTGATTACGTAAATCACTGACTGAGGTGGCTTAAACGTACTATGTTTACCGACCCTTCATCTTTACTGACTGAAGTAGGGATAGTTTGGAAAGAAGCGTAAACAAATCGACCGACAGCTGTTAACTCATTGTGGTGGTCGAGCTTACCTATCTCGGTGCTCCAGTTGAGCTGTAATGGCTTTATTTCTCGACGTCCTGCCATGCCAGAGACGTCTTTCAGATAGTGTCAGCACTGAGGAAGATTCCCATCACAGTGCAAATAGTTTACGCTGTGACGGGAATGGAAGAGTCAAGTACTTCTGGCTATCGATTTGTTGGGACCTGAAATTACTGCGTAACAGTCGAAGTTAGTAAACCTTAGATCAGCAAATCAAGATACAAGGCAACACGATGAAAGACATGGGGATCGCAATGTTATGCGCGAAGGCTGTGGAAAACTATGAGATAAAAATAACTGGGGCAGAGGAAATAGGCGAATATGATATGACGGTTTAAATAAGGTGTGGGTGCCATCGGTAAAGACACAACCAGATCATCTACAGTCTTCAACCATCGTTCTGGGTTGTCTCATGGATGACAACTAGGAGACCTGAAGTTTGCTTTACGCGTCAGTTGAACAATGAGAGAGCCCATGGTTGGTGCTACATCTTGGTCCAGTTACCCACTGAATTGCCTCTTTTCTTTATGAACTAATGAGCGTCCTTCATTGTTTAAAATGATAAAACTGGATTAAATTACTACAGACTAATGGATATTTTTCAGAAGACCAGCAGTAGATTCGCCGACTATCTGTCTAAACGGTTTAAGGCTAGGTTAAGAGGCATTAACACGTCTCAAGTAAGTTAGCTTTTTTGTTAAACAAAACTACAGTGAAGAGATAGGCTATTCTTGGTTGCTGAGTTGCCATCTTCCTCAGTGCCTGGTGTTAATTTCAGTCGACTGCTACGCTTGTATCAAGTTATCGGCCACTGACTTTATCTGGGTTTTAATTTCGGACTTCCTAATTGAAATCTTTAAGATGTCAAAAGTGATTGACTGCCGTCTCTGTCTCTTTTTTCCTCCGTACTTATCCGATCTGCAACAATTTTCGTATTCTTTGTTTATTTAAATATTTCCTACTGCGTTGACTTTGTTTTCGTGTTACTGATAAGCATGGTAAGTATAATCGAGGTATTATGTTTTTTCAAAGGAACGCCCATTGATATTTAATAAAGGCATCGGTAAGAGCAGATACCCAAGTCTGTAACTTACATAATGACTGTTTAGCTGTTTAACGGTTAGTTCTCGGTACATTGATAAGTTGCGAGGCGAGCAATCTTCTCTTTACGGGATGTAGGTTGTACTCAGTTAATTTAACTGTCAACTGCCAACTCTGCCAAAGATAAGTGCCGCTCATTATTTTATAGCCTACACTGTCGGCCTTGTTATGTGATTGTCAATAAGTATAATCCCAGTTTTTCATCCATGAATTTGCGATTGGCTTTTAGTTTCATAGTGCAGAAAGTTTATAGCCGGATTAAACTCATAAATTATGAAATCGCAAGGCAATCGAAGTCATTAAGAACCTAAGTAATATTCTGTGGGCGTTGATGATGCATTACATATTGATGAGAATATACTGAACTAATTTTCGTCTTTGTACAGGACATGTTCCATGATGAAGCTTCGGTGGATGAAGATGATGAGGAAGAAGACGAGGAGTATGATGAAGATGCAGATCTTATTGGTCCCGAAGACGAGGAAGCGTTGGATGCTGTACCTGCAGCTCGTGAGCTAGATTCACGCCGGAGAATACGTGAAATCATGGATCAGGATGAGGAGGCGATTGAAAGGTATTATCAAGAACGATATGAAAATCAAGATTACGTGGATCGTTTCGGTGATGGTGAAGCAATGGCTGATAGTATTGTTCAAAAAGAGCGTCTTCCAGGCATCAAAGATCCTAATCTTTGGGCACTTCGATGCAAAATGGGTGAAGAAAAAGCCACTGTATTAGCGCTGATGCGTAAGTTCATAGCGTACCAGTTTTCTGACACTCCACTTCAAATCAAATCGGCCTTTGCAAAAGAGGGTTTAAAGGGATATATTTATGTTGAAGCCTTCAAACAAACTCATGTTAAACAAGCCATTGAAGGTATCACTGCTTTACGATTGTCCACCTATAAACAGCAGCTTGTTCCAATTGAGGAAATGACAGAGGTTGTACGTGTGGTCAAAGAAACTGGTCAGCTTAAGCCTGAGCAATGGGTCCGGATTAAATCTGGACTCTATCGTGATGATTTAGCCTTGGTAAGTACCAGGTTTTTTTATCCTACAGTGAGTGTTAAGGTTTTACACGTCGAAGTGATAAGTGTTTGGTTTACTCAGAGACTCGGAGTTTGTTTGTTCCTGGACGTTTCTTCATCAGGTTACTTATCTCATCATTTTATAATTCATATGTAAATTAGACTGCGTTCACTACTGAATTTATTTGCGTAAAAAGCCTATTTATACTTTCCGATTTAAGTATATTAGAAGCTTCATAAAAAGAAGGCACCTCAAAAGCGTTAGTGAGAATTCATAATACTGCTGAAATAAGAGTGACATTTCAACACATATACTCATTTAGAAACCATCCTGTAGGTTGAGATGCCTTATTGTTCCACTTCGGCAAAGTATTTTAATTTACCAAATGCCTTGCAATGATTCTAAAAAAAGAAAAGCAAATCCACCCAGCAAACTTGTACACGTTTGTGCAGTAGGCAAGGGACCACAAGTGTCTTATGAGGTCTAATGCTATTATCCGGTTGCTTAGGCCATGGTAAGTGGGGCGGGGTTCGAACCCGTGACCAACCGTCTGGGGGCCAAGTGCCTACGAGTTGAAATATATAGTTGAAAGTAGTCGACCAGGTTCAACTAGGCTATCTAAGCACAGAAGCTTAGCCTAAATTCGTAAACGGTAGTAAGCTAGTGAATCTGGGGAAGAACTTGACGATGACTATTCATACAATTGGATATAACCACACAATAAGATGAGACAGAGTAACAATTCTTAAAGGCTAAGTTGGGTGAGAAAAGAGGTTGTTAATTGAATCTATGTCTATGGAAGTAACAATAAATAGGTGCAATAGGAATGGCTTGGTACTTGTTCTAGATATATGAAAAATTGGACTGCCCATATCGCAAAGGAGAAAATGTTAGGACCATGTAAACCATTAATATAGGAGTAAAACTTAGACATTGTGGTAGATTGTAATTCCGTTTTAATTCGTTTATTAGAAAATGTCACTCAGTGAAACAGTATTATTGGAGTTACTTGGAGCTACCTGATATGAATCTGAATAGTACATTGTTATTCAGTAAATAATACTGTTTTCGTATGTGACACGTCAAATAAACAAAAACTAAAATGAAATAACGATCTACCACAGTGTCCTAGTTTAACTCGTATATTAGCTTGGGTACTAAAGTTGTAGAAATTCAATGGGTTCTGTCCATACTGGGTCTCCTAGCATCATATCTGCAGCTGTTTATGTGGATTAGTATAAAAAGCAATGCTTCATGTTCCCTAACCCCCTATTCAGTAATTACATAGTCGTCTAGCTCTATGTTATTTGAAATTCAGGCGGTGAATTTCGTGTATGGTGTTTTCTTTATTCATTTTATAGTTAAATTGTTGAGTTTGCGCGCTAAGGATTATGGCTGGCTTTTGTTTATTTTTGAGAAACGCTGAAATAATCAAGCCGGTTTACAGTCAGCAACCACCTGCACGTTCGTGCAGTAGGCAACGAGCCGCACCCGGTGTGAGGGCCAGTGATGCCAGCTGGCTGCTCGGACTTTGGTTGGTTGGTCGGTTGGGGTTTGAACCCATGGCTTACTGTTTTGAAGTCGAGTGCGCCTAGACCATTGAACCTCTGCTGAAATAATATCTGTATGTGTAATGTAATGTTCAAAAAGTTGCAAGTTGCATCAATTCACGCATAATTGCTACTGTGTAGTGTAGCAAATTGAACGGATGTACCTCTATGTGGGGTTTTACGTTGATTTTGTATGTGTCTTGAACAGTGATTACTGCAGGTATCTTCCTCTCACACATTGGGGATAGCGTTTAGGCCTATTGATATTTAGTTGTTGTATATATTCCCTAGTTGTGGTCGCTTAAAGGGTTATATAGAGTCGTCATTTGAATTGACGACATCTAGTGGTGTCCGCCAGGGATGCCTTCTGTCACCGTTACTGTTTAACTTGGTTGTATGTGTGTTAACATACATGACTTCAGGTACCTCTGATTTCACAGGGATTGATCTAATCCCTGGAAGTCATCTGACTATCTTGGAGTATACAGACGACATTGTCCTGCTAGGTGAAGTTGCTGACAAAATGCAGGGTCTTCTGAACGCGTCGGGTAGAAATCTGAGTGTTTGGGACCTTTCAAATGTAGAATGATGTAAATCGATGGGTCACTGTTTGGTACCTAGGTCTGCTTACTGGGGTTTCGGCAGCCACGTAGTAACATTAGCCGTTACACAATAGGTGTGGCTGAAGGTTTACTGCACGAGTGTGCATAAGGTTGGTGAGTGAACTTCGAGTTTTGATTTTTTTTGGACTAAAGTGGTTGAATGTAGCAACCACTTCGCTTACTTGGGGGAGTTGTGTCAGTCCGAACGGGCTTGTCGCTAACGGAATCTCAGTTTGGATACAGAGGGCCCATTAGGCATTTGCAAACTTGGATCATCTCTGGTGTTGACTAGCATGATATCCGACTACCTACTAAAGGACGAGTATACTCCACCGCAGTTCATTCTGTTCTTTTATACGGCTGTGAGGCATGATCGTTGAAAGCAGATGTAAAGAGATTGCAGGTTTTTGACCGCAGGTTTCTTCGTAGCATTTCTCACGTAGGATGAGATCATCATGTGAGTAATGTCGGGGTTAGGTGGAGAGTACTAGACAAGGGAAGCAAGTCAATCGATAAGGTTGTAAACCTCCACTGACTGAGATGGCTTTGATGTGTGTTGTGCGTGCCGAGTCACCGGCTACCTTGACGTGGAATATTGGTCGAAGTAGGAAATGGTTTGATAGAAGGCTCTGGATGGTGACCAGTCGAAGATGTGACATTAGTCTATGAAGTCTGTGACTGTTAGTCTGAGCTATGTAGGGAGGCATAAGCTGCGTGGTTGGGATCCTCGAGAGGAATTAATGGTTGGAGGCCGTTGGTGACAGCTGAAAATCGTTCACAATGGTGCAGATGCATTCACTCTTTGACATCTGAATCTCGAAGACTTTCATTCACCTTTGATTTCTGATCCTTTCTCCTCCGACATGCTTTTCTCTTCTTTGATATCACTGTTCTTTCCACACTTGTTCTTCGCTTGCTACTGTGAAGTGTAGCAAGTTGAATCGATGCGAGGTTCTACGTTGATTTTATCCGTCGGTTTCAAAATTTATCAATTCTCTCAGCACTCAGGTTCTCTAAACTTCAGTCGGTTGTACTTCACTGTCAAACCTTACCGTGTCCCGATCATGTCAGAACTTATCACCAGTGATAATGTTTGGATAAAAATTGTCTTCACAGTTCTGTTAGTAATTGTATTCATTGGAAAAGTTGATTGCGTTTTCACCTCAATTTCCTTACCTTACTTTTAATCATTTCAGGTTGAATATGTGGAAGATGCACAAAATTTGGTGGGTCTTAAATTAGTGCCACGAATCGATTATGAGCGAAAACGTAATCGTGGCACAGAGGCGGAGGACGATAACAACAGTAATAATAAATTTCGGCGTTTCAAACGTCCAGCTCCAGCGTTGTTCAATGCATCCAAACTGGCTGATCGTGTGCAACGTGATGGATCATCGTTGGTTTTTGAAGGGAATCGATATGATGCTGACGGATTCCTGCATAAACAATTCCGTATCAATGCTGTTGTAAGTATGAATTATTATTCATTACCAGATAAATTTAAACAGCGTAATGAGAAGACGAATATTATCTGAAACATGTTGTGATGTATTAGCGCTATACATTTCGAACAATCTGATCAAACATGGACTTATCGAACTATTTTTATGAAAATTTACGAAAAAGGTCAATGAAGTTAATAGGAAACATAAGAATAGGAAGGGATGGAAAAAAAGAAAGAGAAACCCTACTCTTGGTATGAAAATTAAAATCAGTACTGTAAGTGTAAAACTTGGGCACTGTGGTAGAATGTAATTCCATATTAGATTTGTTTATTTGATATATAGCGCACAGTGATACAGTATTATTTACTTGATTACGTTTCGAGCATAAATTATTGCTCATATGATTATGAGCAATAATTTATGCTCAAAACGTAATCAAGTAAATAACACTGTATCACTGTGCGCTATATATCAAATAAACAAACCTAGACTGACATCAGTTGAAGGAACAAAGGAAACCTGGGAACACTGGACAGCCGTTTCGTCCTATTATGGGACTCCTCAGCAGTGCGCACCCACGACCCCAGGTTTCCTTTGTTCCTCCAACTGATGTCAGTCTACGATGAATAACAACTTGAAATAATTCCAAATCTCCACAACTCCCTCAAAATTTAATTAAACAAACCCAATATGGAATTAAAATCAGTACTACCAAGGTAGGTTCAACCTGAGTACGAATTGTTTTTGTATACATAAAGTGGGTTTAAATTTATGGATGGCAAGAGCTTCAATAAATTTAAGCACTCGGCTCTGACCACTTTTATGTAGTACTTTAAAGGCTGTTTTCATGTCTATCCTATGGTTAGTTTCTAGTATATGTTTAACGATAGACGAAGATGGATGTTTGTCACCTGCACTTATCGGATCTGTTGAGGTCATTTGTTTTTGTAGCCACTTAGGTACATGTTCAACCTTCCTTAACTGCATATCATGATTACTCCTCCCTATATATGTGTGTCCACACATACATGTAAATTGATAAACACAGTGGGATGTGATGTAACCGTTTATATATTGTTTCGGTTTGTGCTGTAACATGGACTTTGTCTTTTCTACAATGACGACCTTACAGATGGCCGATCTAAGCCTTTTCCTCACAACAAAGCTATGTGAATCATCTCTAAATGGTAATGAGATGTAGACATTTTTCTTAGCAACGGAACACTGTGTACTTTTCAATGGTACATAACTTTTGCACCGGTCGATAAATCTCAACGGGTATCCATTCTGTGCCAGAGTTGTCATCAGTAAGTTGGTTTCTTCCTCCCTGGTGTCATCGGTTCAGATGCGGTTTATCCTGTTGAGTAAGCATCTGACTAAACCACGTTTATATTGGACTGGGCAATAGCTATGAAAATTAACTTCATTGACCTTTTTCGTAAATTTTCATAAAAATAGTTCGACAAGTCCATGTTTGATCAGATTGTTCGAAATGTATAGCGCTAATACATCACATGTTTCAGATAATATTCGTCTTCGCATTACGCTGTTTAAGCATTATGAGATAGTTAATTTTTGTATTTCAAGTCAATTCATGTTGAATAAATCTGAAGAGTGCAAGAACAGAAAACTTTGCAGAATAAAGTGAGCTGATTACATTTCTTGATCTTTCATGAGCTGCAAACAGTCCACAATTGGAGTGAATTATTAGTAGCAATCCTGACATAACATGCTTTAAATATGTAGAAATAAATGAAGATTTTAAATTCAGGATTGACAATAAGATAGTGAGTCGAGGAAAAACAGGGTTAATAACCACAAACCCTAGTCAAAATCAATGACAATTTATGTTTGATGAGATAGAAACATTTGCAGCTGTGGAAACGGGATGACAGTGAAGAGAGAAGAGTGCGAAAAATATGGGTAATTAGGTTGCGTAATCACATGAAGAAACTGAGAAATCGTTAGGTTGAGTTATTAGTAGTTGGCAAGTAATTAATAGAGAGATGATGCAATCGAAATCAGAAAAATTTATAAATATATACGTAGAAAGGTTTTTGCAGTTATTAGGTAACGAAAGGTTAGTTGTAATCTGTTTCTAAGTGCTTAGGTTAAGTTGAAAATGTTTGATGGCGAGAGCTTCGACAAACCATAGTAAACCGTGGGGCTCTTTGTTTGTTGATTATCCTGAAGGATTGAGAAATATCTATTTGATGAACTCATTTTATCCTGAAAATGTCACTACTCATTGTTTCTCCTCCTACTTCGACCTGGTCAACTGGATAATATCATAGCCTAATATATAAAACATCTGATAGTGATTTCAGTTGAGTGTTATTTATTAATAGACTGAACAAACGACGTAAACTTGCAATTAATGACCGTACTTATGCAAAATATAGTTATAGTTCCAACTTTGTTTGCCACATGTAGAAATTGATTCGAACACATTCGAGTGAATATTTGTGGTTTAGTGTTCCGTTCGTCTTCAGAGATTGTGATTCAGCTGTGTGGAGGAAAAGAAATCACTCTGTACTGCACAGTGGAATGAGTTTTCGATGGGTAAACTTGTATGTGTATAAAATAGCATAGGAAAGCGTTCATACTCTGATGTATTGATTATCACTGAATAAGTACTGAAATTTTTTGTATTGTAACATTATTTCAAAGGAGTAAACTGCTTGTCTTTTGGGAGATTCAGCATGATATTTTGTTTTTTGCTGAGCTGTGAGTAATTATATTCTACTCATATGGCTTTCAACTATGAATTCTACCCACCTCGGTTTAGATATAAAGTTATGATTGTATATCCCTTTTACATTAGACTTTTCTGGTTAAATTGGGAACAAATGTGTATTTTGTGTCGAGCCACAGTTAGTCAACATCAACATATGACATGGTATCACTACTTAACTGTCTAAATTGTCACACATATCAACACACTAAGGTTAGATGATAACAAAAGGTGGGGAAATAAGGAAGAAAGCAGTGGAAGAAATCGAAATTCGTGAGAAGAGTAGAAAGAGTGAAATAGTCATGGAATTGAGTGTGATGATTAAGGTGTGGATATTGTGTTGACATTTATTCTGAACCATATGAAATGGTCTCTAACCAATAACAACTTTGGTTGTCATACGGACCCCAATCGGGTAGTCTGCATTTCCCTGCATGCTTCAATTCATCAGTTACAGACATCATGGACTGATGTTATGTTTTAGTGTATCTGCGTCTAACCTTTCTCCATCTTGGACTTTCTTCAGTTGGTATTCATTGGACGACGACGTGGTAGACAGTGATTGGGCATGCGTAACACATGTGTGAGCCATCTGAATGCGTGAAGGTTCACAGACGCATCAACTGACTTGCGTGTTTTGTTTAGTTAGTTGTGGTGGTGTGTGATCTCACGGAGACACCATCATATGAAACCACGCATTTTTTTTATTGGACGACCATAACTATGCTCAAACTTATTGCTGCATTATTACAATGAAGAAGTATCAGTATCCTTGGTAAACGTGATGAGTGAAGCTTGTTATCACGTGCAGTGGTGTGTTGAGTATATCACATGTCTGTCTGTGTTGTAAACGCCTAGATCTGCATAGAACATTGTTTAATAATCTAAACATTTTTATATTATTGTTTTTGCACCATTTTCATGGTATGGCTAGTAGTTCATTTCCCCCCTGTTTTCAGTGTAATTCGCTGATTGGTTAGTGCTTGCTTTTACTGTGTTAATGTTTCAAGTTCTGGACAAGGTCGTGTGTCATGTATAGATATATACACGTGTTTTCGGGTTAATTGACTATTCTTCTTTAAGGTAGTAAACTCTTGCATCTGGTTCAGTCTTCTCTATTTCGTTTGTGGTTGGAGTCGGTAGATCTGGCGTACGAAGTTAGCTATCAGTCAAGCGTGTTGCTATATCTTCTCAGGAACATAAGAATCTCTTTATATGAACATGTATTAAACACAATAACACTTGACGAAGGTAATAGTAGGCACGAAATCATTGTGTCAATCTGATTTGTAACTCGTCAGTCGTTCACATGTTGTACAATTAGCTGAAACTGAAACTAACGGAATTAAGATATTTTAGTAAATATACAAATCTGTAGAGTGAAGTATTCTTCTATCAAAATTTGTTTGTCACATCGCAAGGTTGTAGTTGAAAACTAGTTTAAGTTAATTTCGTGTTGTAGCACAGAATCTGCTTGCTAACATTGTTTTTTCCATGGTGAATCGATCCTTTTTAAATTAAAGGTGGTTAGTGAACATGTTGGAGATCTCCGAGACAATGAAACCTTTTCGCGAAGTTACTTGTTGTGACTTGGAGTCATATGTTCGAGTATGAACTGGACTTCTGAAGAGTTCTTGGGGTGGTCAGAATCGAATCATGACCATATTGACTTTAATTTAGTTTTTGAACACTTTGCATTCTTCTTTATTTGTCTTTTATGCTTTGATATCCCTCCGTAATTCTTCTTGTGATCCTCTGTATTAACGCTGTTTGTAGAAGTATGATACCTTGAGCCGATTAACTGTTGGGCATTTGAATAGATTTCTCATTGTGCCCATCTATTTATTTCGCTAGAAAGGAGTTTATTGAAGACATCTCTCTCACTTCAGTAAGAATGAACTCATTTATACTATTTGACTATTCTGTGCAACATTGATATGATACATTTCTCAATGTTGAACTTGGTTTTCTGTTTCCAGTTTACTGAAGGTATTCGACCAACTCTAGCTGAACTCGAACGATTTCATCATACTCCGGATAGTTACAGATAGCTGCTAACGCTGCGGCTACATTGACTACAGCTAGTAATGCAGAGGTAACGTTAAGTCATTGTTTCACACCTGGAGATGTTGTTGAAGTATGCGAAGGGGATCTTAAAAATCTTCGTGGTAAAGTGGTTTCAATTGAAGGCAATAACAGAATTATTGTTCAACCGAATCATTCTGATCTACATGAACCGATACCTTTTACACCGATTGAACTGAGAAAATTTTTCAGTCAAGGTGATCATGTTAAGGTATGTACTACATCGTTTATCTTATGTCAAGAAGACTGTATTGTTATTATTATATTTGAAATGACTTTGAATTTGTTATTATTTTAATATTTCTTGGATCCGATACTGACTTGAGTATTTGATTTATTTTAATTCTCTTTCACATTATCTGAATTTCTCAAAATGAGGATGTGTTGGGATTGTTATCAGATTGCACAGGTTTTCAGCATATTTCCTGCGAACAACGTTTATCCCGTCATGAGATTTCAAATTTTGTAGTGTATTGTTTGGTTGGCATAAACACTTGAGAACACTTTCTTCCTCTGTTTCTCTCTTTCTGGGTTTGAGCTGATCTGCGGAAACTATTCGGTATTAGATTAGAAAAGCTGGACAATGTGACTTTGAATGTTACACCCACTGGTTTTCATTCAGAAGGTGTCTAGTGCATCTAATTTTTTGTAAGATTTTCAATATTGTACCGATAGTTGCTACCTTGACGTGGTGATCATCGGTGTTGGATATCACGGTGACTGAACGAGTTCTACTGGTGGGAACACTTGTTACCTTGATATCCTACCATGCTAGAAAGGTTTGTTTGTAGATAGTTTTTGTCGATGGGTATGATAGTAGTAGGGTGCTTCCTGTTGTTGACCGATGGTACTATGCTGATGTTGCCTTCCCTATGGAAGAGGTGTTTGGAAAGGTTGTCCTTGGAAATGGTAGACTGGATCTTGTTTTGCGGTTTTCCAGTGCAGGTGGTATTGGTTTACAGCTGAGGTCGAAGGAAACCGACTGAAGTCATAAACTTCCAAAAGGGCTATGTGTGAGAGATGTCAATCAATTGTGGCTTGGGATCTGGGGCCACTCACGACTATTACTAACCCTCATTTTCCAGATACGTGAGAAGAAAGAACCCTATAGGGAGTGGTCATGCATGAGGTGTTGACCGTCTTCAAAATTCTGTCATTTCAAAAGTCTCGGTAAAGCGTCAACTAAAGTATCGTTGACTTGAAGGACTCTTATGCCGAGACACTGAATTGTCTCTTGAATACCCGTTTGATATGAATAAAAGGTGGTGTGGTGGAAATTTGTGTAGCATTGTATTGGACATATATATTCAGGTAGTATTGCTGCTAAATTAGATGTATTTTCCGCGTCCGCTGAACGTTTTTTGTACTGGCAGCCAGTCTTTCCAATGTAATGTTACCAAATGGAAGTTGTGTGGCGATGAGTAATCGAATATCACAATATATATGTAAATTGCACTGAACACTACCCTTGTCACTTGGTTTCGTGATGACCGAGAAGTGGGAAAGTGATAAGATCCAGTAAAAAGTGCTAAGTTCATATAATTGATACTTGAGTATATTCAGTGTTTCATGGTTTATTTGGATGTGTACATGATAGATGTATAGCACATTCTAGCGTGGTACTGCAATAAGAAATTACATCCAGTGGCAGATTAATTCGGGGGAAAGCACAAAAGTGATCTTATTTAAAAATACATGCACTACTGGCTGAAGTCATACAGGCGAACATCGGCTTTGTGATTGGTGTTCATGGGATAACTGATGTCAACGATAAGAGACTCGAAGAGGCACAATTCGTAGTCAACTGCAGTACTGTGTGTGCATTAATGGTCTAGCAGTATCTGTCAATGAAAGGGGTGGGGAGTAAGTGTATGACTCTGTTGAAGGCTGTTTACTCGAACAGCTGGGCGTTTTTTTGTGTCTATGACTAGTTTTCAGGTGAGGTGTTTACATGGAGTGGTTTCCGTCAAGGATATCTAGTCTTCATTCATGTTCACTCTTGTCGTAGATGTTCTTCTAGGGGTTTACTTCGCGTCATCTGATATCAGTGATTGTTTTAATCATAGGAAACTCCTTGATAGATTTAGAGTACGGAGGTGACATAGTTCTGTTAGGTGACGATGCTGAACAGATGTAGAGTGTTCTGAAGACGTTGAGTGTCAATTTGCTATTGTTTGGGATGCTTTTCTCACGACTGAGATGTAAATTGTTGCTCCAGGACTGGTGTTTAGAAGTGCTTCAGCTAATAGTAGGTAATGAAGTGGGAAGTGTGTTGAGCACTTCAGTTGCCTTGGGAGTGAAGTGAGCCCTGGTGACTCAGTGACCGACGAAATCTGTGCACGGATACAGAAGGCTTGAGTGGCTTTCACTAACTTGTGGCATCTGTGGTGCCGCCGCGATATCCGATTGTCTAGTGGGAGGTGAGTGTACTACACTACAGTTCAGTTTGTTGTGACAGTAGAGGATAAGGGGAGGCTTCAGTTTTTCGACCACCATTGGCTACGAAGCATAGACCGTGTTTCATCATGTCGGTAATGCAGAAGTGAGTTGTAGAGTTGTAGGAGGGTTGGGAGAAAAGTGAGTTGATGAGGTTGTGAGCATTCGTCGACTGAGTTGTCTGGGACGTGTGTTACTCATGCGTAGTCACCGCCTGCATCATCGTGCAGTGTTAGGGTAGGGGAATTAGTTTAAGGCTGCATAAGGGTTGGAGACGGTGATACTAAAACATGGCATCAGTGCATGAAATGATTGACTGTTGGTCTGAGTCATGTAGAGAGTGTAGACTATGCGGTTGGGTACGCTGATAACATTAAGTGTAGGTGAAATGAGTCAGAATGGATGTCAACAAGGCAGATGTATCCGCATGCATAAGCTATCTTCATGTTTTTGGTTATACTGAATTCAGCACCTCCTCATTCCTCCTTACTGTTTTTTACTGGTTTGTATTGGTTTTGTTGGATTCTTCTTTATTTCCTTATCTTTCATCTTATTGCTTTGTTACTTGATGTGGTGATGTGAAGTGTGGGAAGTTGAACTGGTATGGAGTAATAGCTGGTGCTATGTTGATATTGTTGATGATGATGGTGAACTTGGACTGGTACGCAGGAAGTAGTAATGCGTGACTCCGATTGTACATGAATTGCACTATACGTCTATTTCTGTTTACTTGACCACAGAAGCGTTATTGTTGCTGATACAGCTTGAATATTCACATTGACCTTTATCCTCTGATTTTTTATTCTCTCTCACTACTTTATCTTTAATATCAGTCTTTCCGTATCCACCTGTTCTTTGTATACTCCTGTGAAGTGTGGCAAGTTGAGCCGAAGCATGTGTGTGCGAGGTTTTCAGTTGATTTTTCCAGTTAGTCAGTTAGTCAGTCAGTTAATGATATAGTTGGTGTCAAAGACCTTTCTATTCTATTTTCTAAAAGCCTACTTCAACAGTCAGATGCAGGTTAAATAGGTTTAGCATGGGTAAATGGTGTGTAAACGAAGCATATTTGTCATGTCTGAAAGAAACGAAGAAAAGCATATTTCCAACTTCTTCCCACCTCATGGATGTCAGTTTTCCTCTGAGGGTTATTTTAATTGTCTGTAGGTGACATGCATTGTGGGAAGGGTTGCGCTACTAGCCAATGCTTTTGAGGGTTGACGGCTAACGACTTGAAGTTGTTGTTATCGCATATTTTGTGTTTCTTATAAGAATACGAGTATGTTAGTAGTTGAATTTTCTTGTCGAGCAAAGTTCGTTACAAGCGCTTTTGAAGTTTCTTATTAAAATTGAATACACACGAGTTATGTAGATAGGGAGCTGTTGGTTATTGATGTAGGCGGCTGACTTCTTGGATTCGAGTCTCACTCTACTTACTGTGGTTTAGGTAGCCATGTGGAGTGTCATTAGCTCTCACACAATGTGTGTGGCTGATTGTGCATAGTGCACGAATGTGCACTAGGTGAGTTAGTGCGTTCTCTTGGTTGCAAAGGATTTCTGCTCAATGAAGTAATACTACTTTTTGTGTAATCGGTTTTCTCATTGTCTCTTTACGCTTATTCTATGCTTCTATTATATATTGATTCATATTTTTGTTTATCAATTGTGATTTGTTATTCCACTGTTCTCATTGTGTGTTGTAGGTGCTCAGTGGTCGACATGCTAATGAGACTGGTTTAGTGATACGTTTCGATCCTACTCTAGCTGTTGTCCTATCTGATCATAGTATGAATGAAATGAAAGTTGCTCCGAAAGACTTACGTTTGTGGCAAGATCGTGCTACAACTGTTGAGTCATCTGGACATGTTCAACTAATGGATCTAGTACAAGTTGATCCTCAAACGGTTGGTGTTGTTGTCCATGTGGAACGGGATCAAGTGTCTGTCTTGACGTGTTTTGGTAAGGTGGTCAATTTGAAGTCGAATACAGCATTGCGTCGATTGAATAGTGTTCGTCGACCACCACCACAGGCGTTGGATCGTAATGGGAATTCTATTCAGTTGAAACAAATGGTTCGTATATTAGAGAAACCTCATTGTGGATTAGTCGGTGAAGTGAGACACCTATATCGTTCGTGGGCATTCATTTATTGTCGTACACATTTAGAGAATGCTGGACTTGTTGTTGCCAAAACTCGTCAATTATCTGTGTTGACGACTTCGCAAGGTGGAAATGATCAGCAAGGAAGTAATGAAGCTGGTATGTCGGTGAAAACGGTCACACCTGTTGGAGGTGGTGGTGCTCGGAACTTTGGTGGTGGCAATGGTGAAGGTGGACGGGGAAGAGGTAATCGTAACGAACGTCAACTGGTCGGTAGAACAGCTTTAATTGTTAAGGTATGTTTAGTTTTATTTGATTTGAAGATGTGATTTCGGTGTTTATCGGTTGTCGGTCTGCCCCTGAATTATTTGTTTGTTAATGTGCATGTGTTTCATCGTATTCGGGGACACTTTGACGTGATACACTGATCACGGCATACAAGTTCCAGTTGGAAAGAAGTTATATATTGTATTTGAGGTAGCCACTCTTCGTAAAAGTTTATCCTTTTCTTTAGACTGTTGCTTACAATTGAATTTAATTCTGTTTTTTTATGATTTATGTGAAACAGAGAACCGCAGTAAATAAAAGGCGGACAGCAGTGTGTATAATAGTCAGGCTGATGTAATTTGTGGATAGCTGATTTTTGTCAGTCAACTGTAGTTTTATGTGTGGCATTGAATTGAATTGGAGGTGTCAGACTTTGTGTTGTTATACTTTTTAGGGTAAAAAGGAAGCGCAAGTTATTTTTTGGTGTCTTTCTTAATCTCTCATGTTATTCTGTTAGCGAGCGTGTTGTTTGGTTACTTCCTACTGTGTCCACCATTGCTGCCGGTGTTTTCGACACAGGGATTTCCAGATTCCCAGAGTATATTGGTGTGTATATGTGATCCAGTGTTTCAGTTCGCTAATCGTTACTGACGTGTTCGTGAAACTGCTGAGTGTGTAGTTTTTGTTTTACGTGTAGACCTGGAGAAGGAGTTAGGTGAATAATTGAATGTAGTGGTTTATAAATCACTGTCGACTGAAAGATTGGCATCATTTGTTCCTCATGTCCATTTGTTATTTTCAGTAGGGGATAGGAAGCGTCAGCATACTGAATTGGGTAGGACTGTGCAGAAACCCATGGCAACGGTTGGTGTTTGGCCTTGTACATATCCGAAGCTGTAGGCTTACTAATGAGATAGTGAATAGATGATGATATTATTGAAAAATCATTTTCTTGTTCACTTTATTTGATCATGATTTTGTTTTATTCTTTCCGCGTTTGGTGTCCAGGGTACATTGAAAGGTCTGTTGGGTATAATTTGTGATGCGACACCGACACATGTAGTACTGGAATTACACAGTCAATTCAAGAAGGTGCCTGTAGCACGTGAGAATATGGCTTTGTTAGACAGTGGTGGTCGTATTATGGAGACACAGTATGGTGCTACTGCTACACCTCGTATTACACCGCTGCGTGAAATGCGCACACCACAGGTGAGAGTTTTGTGTGTGGTGTTTTTTCTTTTAAGTGGAAAATTTGTATTGGAATGTATAAAGTGTGTGATGCGTATTATGTGACCAGTATGTTGTGATTGAGTTTATTGTGAAACTAGTATGATAGTTCGCGATCCATATATATTGTTGGATTTGTGTAAGTTATCTGTGCAGTGTTATCACTTGTTTGTCCAAATCTCAGCAAGTGAAATGTATGTGGATGTTTTGCTGAAATGTCTGGATTGGAATACTCTTCAAGTGAACAAATGTTGTAGTAGGATTTGGTTCGGTTGCAACAGTAGTAATAATAATGGAAGGAGTATCGTATAATTTTATTCCCGTTTTATTGTGATAATCGCTAATATTTGTTTACACTTGAGATAACTGATGTTTAGTGAATTCGAGTATGAAGCAAATCAATTTTGATGCTTTTGTGTTTGTTTAGAATGTTATTATTTTCTCTTTTTGTGTGTGTGTTTGAAAACAGTTGGCGTATGGTTCCCAAACCCCTCATGCAGCTAGTACGACTCCACGTGGTGACAGCACTCCGTTACCGAGTGCATTTAACGCTGGTATGGCTACACCGAAAATCAACAATCTTGATGATCCTATGACTCCAAGTTCTAGTAAGTTTTATTACTTAGATGTTTGTGAAATTTGAGGCATCATTCATTTAGTCTAAGTTGACATTTCAGAGACGGGATACTTTTTTATGATGATACAGGGCACCACCGGGTTAATCTGTGGTCACAAATGAAACTGTAACATAGAAACGGATGAATCCATTGTCTGTCCACGGCTTGCGTTACATTTACTGCCTGTAGAGTAGCCAATGGTTTTTTAGTAGAAGTGTGAAGCTTGGTCATTGTGGTAGATTGTAATTCGTATTAGGTTTGTTTATTTAATTTATAACACAGTGTAGTGTGACACAGTATTATTTACTTGATGACCACGTTTCAAGCATAAATTATCATTGCTCATAATTATATCAATGTAATCACAGCCGTTCAATCTGTGTATTTTATCTTTCAGTCATTGCATTGGATTTGGTAGATTAGATTACATAACTTAATTGAATCTGTCGGATATTGAAGCCGACATGGCCTATCTGTCAGTGAGATTGTAGGTTTGAATGTCACCCTATTTCTAGCTTTGTTGAAAATTTCACATGAAGTTTCCGATGTTCCACCTATAAAATTACCAAGCGCTTACTGATGATCGAAGGTACTGCATATAAAGGCACTCTAATGTAGTTATATATCTGTAAAACAGTCGTTGGAGGATTTTTGAGGGTTGTGGACATTCGACCATTGTCTTCATTGCGTTGCTGAAGTGTAATGAATTCACTTCGTATGCATTTCGTCAGTTAGAGGTAGAATGCTGAGCAAAGAGGGTAAGCCGATTGGTAAGATTACTAACGTTGTGTAGAAAATTGCCTAGGTGGATGTTTAGGTTCTTCGGTTGATAAAACTCATCTCTCTCTCTGTCTTTGTCTCTCAGCTTTCTCACACAGAAATTCCAGCACAAAACAAATGCAATACTCCCACATAGTAATAAAGGTTCTCATGCAAATCATTTAACCTCAAAAGTCCTATATTGCAGTCAGCACTGCTCTATTTCTTTGCAGTGTGATTTAAACAGTTGTGTACAGTAGGCAACTCATCTTACTTGTGTATTCTTGAGATGGTTCGGAAGAAGGTACGTTGTAGTGATATAACCTGCTGCTGAATGGAAGACTTTTCTAATTTCAATATACGGATGATACCGCGTTTGGGTGCTTCAACATACAGATTGTTCAACTCGCGCTTGATCAGTCAACTTATTGATCTCCATAAGGGTCGGTTGGGCTTTGCGTTATCAAAGTACGAAGTGCTTCTACAAGATTGGGAACAGGCTGTTACTGCACTCATCCTTAATTGTGAACAGTTGGACATAGTTCAGAAGTTTGTGTATCTGGCTAGTTTTGTGAGTTTTAGTTGAGGTATGGCTGATTAAACGTCTTTAACGAATATTGAAATCCAAAGCGGTTCATATCGATCCCGGTCACCTTCAGCGTCGTTTTTGTGTTGTTACTCTGGCTGGAGAAGGTGTTGTGCGTATAAAACACTGGTGCTGGCAGTTCTCTATGTCTATGAAAGCTAGGCTAGAGTCAGTGTCCAACTACTCTGTGTTCAGTTACCGTTTTCCCTCAGGACTCCTCGCATTTGATCACCACACCCAAAGGGCGGGGTGAAAATCTCTCATTTATTGATATCAACTTGAAATACAGGCTTCATTGACTTGGGCATATGTTACGTCGTATACTGTTCCAAAGGCTTCTACATTGTTGTCGTTTCGCTTGCTTAGAGTCAGTTGAAAGAAGCGGAGAAGTGACGCCGTATGATATATATATATATATATATATATATATATATATATATATATATATATATATATATATATATATATATATATAAAATAAAAATAATATTCCTTGAGGGGATTTAAACAATGCATGATAAAACCAATAATGTTAGTAATAATAATGATAAAGGTACTTATGATTATAATCATCATCAAGATCAACATCACTGCGTAACGGTTCAAGTTGCCACACCTTATATCACCACATCAAGGAACAAAGCAATTAAATGGAAGATGAAGGAAGAAAAAACGACCGGTCAAAAGAATTAGAAGGCACTAAAAGAGAGAAAGGGGGTGTGTGAGAAAATGATGAGATTAAGTATGGCGGATATGGTGAGGATAATGTATGTATACATCTGAGCCGTGTCACCTAGGATTTCCAACCACTGGTTTCCTTTATCCCAGGGACCCCAACCGGCTAGTCTGTATCGCTTTACATGGCTCAAACGAACATTCAAGGACTTTATGCGTTGATGTCATGTTTTAATCTGGCAGCCTTGAGCTTTTTTACAGTCTGAACCTGCTCCGGCCAACATTGTGCGACGAGGCAGATGATGACTAGGCATACGTAATACAGTTAGAAATCCATGAGAATAGGTAAAATACAATAGCCAAGGTAAGTCATCATGTAAAATTATTTCAATATAGAAACAGTGTTAAGGGTGAATCGATATCAAGTCAAACATGTAAACTTTTCTTAGGTGGAAGTGGAATAGTAGTCAGTCTGGTGTGTTAGGCTGGCCAGTGAAATCTATTTGGACAGGACAGTTACGAAATAAGGAGACAAAATCTAGAGACAATGTTCCATTCAAATAAATCTGTATATTTTGAGGGAGTTGTGGGGAGTTGGAAATATTTCAAGTTGTTATTCATCGTAGACTGACATCAGTTGGAGGAACAAAGGAAACCTGGGAGCACTGGACAGGTGTTTCGTCGGAATATGGGTCGTGGGTGCACACTTCTGAGAAGTCCCATACTAGGACGAAACAGCTGTCCAGTGCTCCCAGGTTTCCTTTGTTCCTCCAACTGATGTCAGTGTACGATGAATGACAACTTGAAATCTGTATATCTGGGGTATGAATGTGCACGTGTATATCTGTGTGTGTATGTATGTCAAATAATTATGATCAAATATAACTTGAGAAATTTATATCCCATTAGGAAATTTAAACGCATGATAATAATCATTACAATAAAGTTATGCTAACAATGATAAAGGTATCGGTAATTATAATAACAGTTAAAATAAGAACGATAACAAAGTTGACTATGTAGTATGGGGAGTCGTTCATCGAATGTGTATAACTCAGCAAATAGTGTAAAACTGGCGAAAGTGGTAAACCAATCAACTTGTTTAATCCTATTACATAATGACTGATTGACAAAATCAACGTAGAATCGCTCACACAGGTGCTTTGGCTGAAGAAGTTGCCACACTTTACAAAAGTACACAAAGAACAGGTGAATAGGAAAAGACTGATATCAAAGTAGATAAAGTAGTGTGAGAGAATAAACAATCTGAGGATAAAGGTCAGTGCAAATATTCAAGCTTTAGATGATGTTAAAGAGTGAATACATCTGTACCACTGTGACTGATTTTCAGTCATGTCATCAAGAGTCCCTCAACCACTGCTCTTTTCGTCTGAAAGACCCTAGCCAGGTAGTCTACATCTGCCTGCATAACTCAGATCAACAGTAAAAGACTTCGTCAACCAAACCTTTATCTGACCACCCTGAAGTCTCTTCCAACTTAATCCAACTTCTTACAGCATGACACGTCGAGATAGGGGGTGGCTTGGCATGTGCAGTACATGTCCAAGTCATTTCAGCCGACTACGGCTCACAGCCTCATCAATTGACTAGCCTATCTTGCCTAGTACCCTTCACTTGATCTCAACATTACTCACACGATGATTCCATCAAATGCAAGCAATGATACGACGAAATCTGTGGTCACAACCTAGTAATCACTTCATTTCTTCTACCTTCAGTGGCTATGTCTCACAACTGTGTGACTAGATGGAACCAAGTCCAGCCCAATATACTCGTCCTTTAATTTATAGTCAGATATCTCGCCAGACGGTACCATAGATGTCACAAGTTAACAAATGCTAAACAGGACGTCTGTATACCAGCTGATATTTAATCAGTAACCAGCCTGTTCGGATTTATGCAACTCTCAAACTAAGTGAAGTAGTCAACACATTCCAAATGTTAGTGTTTTCCTTGTTCGCTGTCTCGGTTTAACTATTTTCAAGCTGTTTTTAACCTGTTTTACACTTTGTTATTCCTGTCTAATAGATTACTGGTGTATTTTTTTTAATCCAAGCCATAAACAAAATTCCCATCTTGACTTCATATAGCTAATGCTTTCCCTTTGCATTGTCTTTTTAAAAATTAGGTTTTCTATGGACTTCAAGTGATCATCACCGTATGTCTGGTTCCAGCACTCATTCATTATCAGATAATGAGTAGAAGACAAGAAGTATATGATATTGTTAAAGCCTATAATATTTAATTCATAGTTTCAGCTTTGATGAGATAAGGATGACTTTGATGACGGTGGGGAAGTGACCAGTTTTCTTGTTTTCTTTTGTGTGTTTGGTTGCCTTTTACGGTATTTTGGGGTGTTATAATGTGTTCAACACACTAGTGTAATAAGTCAGGTTACTCTTCATCGTTTGAGAAGTTGTGAGTGTAAAGTTGTTATCTTTCTTGCTTAGTGACATAGGATGTGGTTTCACTGATCTGTGTACGCATGTTTCAACTACCTTACTAATGTCAATCTTATATACTATGTCTGCCTTGAACGGAACTACTTAGCCTTTGTTATGGGCCTCTTGTACAAATTTCTCTCTACATTCCTAGTTTACATTGTTTGTTTTTCATAATGACTAACAGTGGGGTGCTAGATGTTCGTTTCAGCGTGGCTATCGTTGTTCAATGGCTTATTGAGCAGCGCTGTGGTGTTCAAAATGAAGGGTACGAGGATCCAATCTCGGTGAAAACAACATCACCGAATGCGGGCGCAGCTGACGAGTCCCGGATAGAATGAAACGCTCTTCCTGAGTCCCGCTGTTAACCAGAAACAACTAAGTTGGAATAATAAATATTCAGGTAATATTGAGGCGTCCGTATAGGAGTCCATGCTCTAGCATAGGCGCGTCATTTCGACCCAGTATGACAGCGGGCGATTACATGCATATCAACAAGTTTATATATATATATATATATATATATATATATATATATATATATATATATATATATATATATATATATATATATAATCTTGTTGATATGCATGTAGTCGCCCGCTGTCATACTGGGTCGAAATGACGCGCCTATGCTAGAGCATGGACTCCTATACGGACGCCTCAATATTACCTGGATATTTATTATTCCAACTTAGTTGTTTCTGGTTAACAGCGGGACTCAGGAAGAGCGTTTCATTCTATCCGGGACTCGTCAGCTGCGCCCGCATTCGGTGATGTTGTTTTCACCGAGATTGGATCCTCGTACCCTTCATTTTGAACACCACAGCGCTGCTCAATAAGCCATTGAACAACGATAGCCACGCTGAAACGAACATCTAGCACCCCACTGTTAGTCATTATGAAAAACAAACAATGTAAACTAGGAATGTAGAGAGAAATTTGTACAAGAGGCCCATAACAAAGGCTAAGTAGTTCCGTTCAAGGCAGACATTGTATATAAGATTGACATTAGTAAGGTAGTTGAAACATGCGTACACAGATCAGTGAAACCACATCCTATGTCACTAAGCAAGAAAGATAACAACTTTACACTCACAACTTCTCAAACGATGATGAGTAACCTGACTTATTACACTAGTGTGTTGAACACATTATAACACCCCAAAATACCGTAAAAGGCAACCAATCACACAAAGAAAAACAAGAAAACTGGTCACTTCCCCACCGTCATCAAAGTCATCAGTATCTCATCAAAGCTGAAACTATGAATTAAATATTATAGGCTTTAACAATATCATATACTTCTTGTCTTCTACTCATTATCTGATAATGAATGCGTGCTGGAACCAGACATACGGTGATGATCACTTGAAGTCCATAGAAAACCTAATTTTTAAAAAGACAATGCAAAGGGAAAGCATTAGCTATATGAAGTCAAGATGGGAATTTTGTTTATGGCTTGGATTAAAAAAAATACACCAGTAATCTATTAGACAGGAATAACAAAGTGTAAAACAGGTTAAAAACAGCTTGAAAATAGTTAAACCGAGACAGCGAACAAGGAAAACACTAACATTTGGAATGTGTTGACTACTTCACTTAGTTTGAGAGTTGCATAAATCCGAACAGGCTGGTTACTGATTAAATATCAGCTGGTATACAGACGTCCTGTTTAGCATTTGTTAACTTGTGACATCTATGGTACCGTCTGGCGAGATATCTGACTATAAATTAAAGGACGAGTATATTGGGCTGGACTTGGTTCCATCTAGTCACACAGTTGTGAGACATAGCCACTGAAGGTAGAAGAAATGAAGTGATTACTAGGTTGTGACCACAGATTTCGTCGTATCATTGCTTGCATTTGATGGAATCATCGTGTGAGTAATGTTGAGATCAAGTGAAGGGTACTAGGCAAGATAGGCTAGTCAATTGATGAGGCTGTGAGCCGTAGTCGGCTGAAATGACTTGGACATGTACTGCACATGCCAAGCCACCCCCTATCTCGACGTGTCATGCTGTAAGAAGTTGGATTAAGTTGGAAGAGACTTCAGGGTGGTCAGATAAAGGTTTGGTTGACGAAGTCTTTTACTGTTGATCTGAGTTATGCAGGCAGATGTAGACTACCTGGCTAGGGTCTTTCAGACGAAAAGAGCAGTGGTTGAGGGACTCTTGATGACATGACTGAAAATCAGTCACAGTGGTACAGATGTATTCACTCTTTAACATCATCTAAAGCTTGAATATTTGCACTGACCTTTATCCTCAGATTGTTTATTCTCTCACACTACTTTATCTACTTTGATATCAGTCTTTTCCTATTCACCTGTTCTTTGTGTACTTTTGTAAAGTGTGGCAACTTCTTCAGCCAAAGCACCTGTGTGAGCGATTCTACGTTGATTTTGTCAATCAGTCATTATGTAATAGGATTAAACAAGTTGATTGGTTTACCACTTTCGCCAGTTTTACACTATTTGCTGAGTTATACACATTCGATGAACGACTCCCCATACTACATAGTCAACTTTGTTATCGTTCTTATTTTAACTGTTATTATAATTACCGATACCTTTATCATTGTTAGCATAACTTTATTGTAATGATTATTATCATGCGTTTAAATTTCCTAATGGGATATAAATTTCTCAAGTTATATTTGATCATAATTATTTGACATACATACACACACAGATATACACGTGCACATTCATACCCCAGATATACAGATTTCAAGTTGTCATTCATCGTACACTGACATCAGTTGGAGGAACAAAGGAAACCTGGGAGCACTGGACAGCTGTTTCGTCCTAGTATGGGACTTCTCAGAAGTGTGCACCCACGACCCATATTCCGACGAAACACCTGTCCAGTGCTCCCAGGTTTCCTTTGTTCCTCCAACTGATGTCAGTCTACGATGAATAACAACTTGAAATATTTCCAACTCCCCACAACTCCCTCAAAATATACAGATTTATTTGAATGGAACATTGTCTCTAGATTTTGTCTCCTTATTTCGTAACTGTCCTGTCCAAATAGATTTCACTGGCCAGCCTAACACACCAGACTGACTACTATTCCACTTCCACCTAAGAAAAGTTTACATGTTTGACTTGATATCGATTCACCCTTAACACTGTTTCTATATTGAAATAATTTTACATGATGACTTACCTTGGCTATTGTATTTTACCTATTCTCATGGATTTCTAACTGTATTACGTATGCCTAGTCATCATCTGCCTCGTCGCACAATGTTGGCCGGAGCAGGTTCAGACTGTAAAAAAGCTCAAGGCTGCCAGATTAAAACATGACATCAACGCATAAAGTCCTTGAATGTTCGTTTGAGCCATGTAAAGCGATACAGACTAGCCGGTTGGGGTCCCTGGGATAAAGGAAACCAGTGGTTGGAAATCCTAGGTGACACGGCTCAGATGTATACATACATTATCCTCACCATATCCGCCATACTTAATCTCATCATTTTCTCACACACCCCCTTTCTCTCTTTTAGTGCCTTCTAATTCTTTTGACCGGTCGTTTTTTCTTCCTTCATCTTCCATTTAATTGCTTTGTTCCTTGATGTGGTGATATAAGGTGTGGCAACTTGAACCGTTACGCAGTGATGTTGATCTTGATGATGATTATAATCATAAGTACCTTTATCATTATTATTACTAACATTATTGGTTTTATCATGCATTGTTTAAATCCCCTCAAGGAATATTATTTTTATTTTATATATATATATATATATATATATATATATATATATATATATATATATATATATATATATATATATATATATATCATACGGCGTCACTTCTCCGCTTCTTTCAACTGACTCTAAGCAAGCGAAACGACAACAATGTAGAAGCCTTTGGAACAGTATACGACGTAACATATGCCCAAGTCAATGAAGCCTGTATTTCAAGTTGATATCAATAAATGAGAGATTTTCACCCCGCCCTTTGGGTGTGGTGATCAAATGCGAGGAGTCCTGAGGGAAAACGGTAACTGAACACAGAGTAGTTGGACACTGACTCTAGCCTAGCTTTCATAGACATAGAGAACTGCCAGCACCAGTGTTTTATACGCACAACACCTTCTCCAGCCAGAGTAACAACACAAAAACGACGCTGAAGGTGACCGGGATCGATATGAACCGCTTTGGATTTCAATATTCGTTAAAGACGTTTAATCAGCCATACCTCAACTAAAACTCACAAAACTAGCCAGATACACAAACTTCTGAACTATGTCCAACTGTTCACAATTAAGGATGAGTGCAGTAACAGCCTGTTCCCAATCTTGTAGAAGCACTTCGTACTTTGATAACGCAAAGCCCAACCGACCCTTATGGAGATCAATAAGTTGACTGATCAAGCGCGAGTTGAACAATCTGTATGTTGAAGCACCCAAACGCGGTATCATCCGTATATTGAAATTAGAAAAGTCTTCCATTCAGCAGCAGGTTATATCACTACAACGTACCTTCTTCCGAACCATCTCAAGAATACACAAGTAAGATGAGTTGCCTACTGTACACAACTGTTTAAATCACACTGCAAAGAAATAGAGCAGTGCTGACTGCAATATAGGACTTTTGAGGTTAAATGATTTGCATGAGAACCTTTATTACTATGTGGGAGTATTGCATTTGTTTTGTGCTGGAATTTCTGTGTGAGAAAGCTGAGAGACAAAGACAGAGAGAGAGATGAGTTTTATCAACCGAAGAACCTAAACATCCACCTAGGCAATTTTCTACACAACGTTAGTAATCTTACCAATCGGCTTACCCTCTTTGCTCAGCATTCTACCTCTAACTGACGAAATGCATACGAAGTGAATTCATTACACTTCAGCAACGCAATGAAGACAATGGTCGAATGTCCACAACCCTCAAAAATCCTCCAACGACTGTTTTACAGATATATAACTACATTAGAGTGCCTTTATATGCAGTACCTTCGATCATCAGTAAGCGCTTGGTAATTTTATAGGTGGAACATCGGAAACTTCATGTGAAATTTTCAACAAAGCTAGAAATAGGGTGACATTCAAACCTACAATCTCACTGACAGATAGGCCATGTCGGCTTCAATATCCGACAGATTCAATTAAGTTATGTAATCTAATCTACCAAATCCAATGCAATGACTGAAAGATAAAATACACAGATTGAACGGCTGTGATTACATTGATATAATTATGAGCAATGATAATTTATGCTTGAAACGTGGTCATCAAGTAAATAATACTGTGTCACACTACACTGTGTTATAAATTAAATAAACAAACCTAATACGAATTACAATCTACCACAATGACCAAGCTTCACACTTCTACTAAAAAACCATTGGCTACTCTACAGGCAGTAAATGTAACGCAAGCCGTGGACAGACAATGGATTCATCCGTTTCTATGTTACAGTTTCATTTGTGACCACAGATTAACCCGGTGGTGCCCTGTATCATCATAAAAAAGTATCCCGTCTCTGAAATGTCAACTTAGACTAAATGAATGATGCCTCAAATTTCACAAACATCTAAGTAATAAAACTTACTAGAACTTGGAGTCATAGGATCATCAAGATTGTTGATTTTCGGTGTAGCCATACCAGCGTTAAATGCACTCGGTAACGGAGTGCTGTCACCACGTGGAGTCGTACTAGCTGCATGAGGGGTTTGGGAACCATACGCCAACTGTTTTCAAACACACACACACACAAAAAGAGAAAATAATAACATTCTAAACAAACACAAAAGCATCAAAATTGATTTGCTTCATACTCGAATTCACTAAACATCAGTTATCTCAAGTGTAAACAAATATTAGCGATTATCACAATAAAACGGGAATAAAATTATACGATACTCCTTCCATTATTATTACTACTGTTGCAACCGAACCAAATCCTACTACAACATTTGTTCACTTGAAGAGTATTCCAATCCAGACATTTCAGCAAAACATCCACATACATTTCACTTGCTGAGATTTGGACAAACAAGTGATAACACTGCACAGATAACTTACACAAATCCAACAATATATATGGATCGCGAACTATCATACTAGTTTCACAATAAACTCAATCACAACATACTGGTCACATAATACGCATCACACACTTTATACATTCCAATACAAATTTTCCACTTAAAAGAAAAAACACCACACACAAAACTCTCACCTGTGGTGTGCGCATTTCACGCAGCGGTGTAATACGAGGTGTAGCAGTAGCACCATACTGTGTCTCCATAATACGACCACCACTGTCTAACAAAGCCATATTCTCACGTGCTACAGGCACCTTCTTGAATTGACTGTGTAATTCCAGTACTACATGTGTCGGTGTCGCATCACAAATTATACCCAACAGACCTTTCAATGTACCCTGGACACCAAACGCGGAAAGAATAAAACAAAATCATGATCAAATAAAGTGAACAAGAAAATGATTTTTCAATAATATCATCATCTATTCACTATCTCATTAGTAAGCCTACAGCTTCGGATATGTACAAGGCCAAACACCAACCGTTGCCATGGGTTTCTGCACAGTCCTACCCAATTCAGTATGCTGACGCTTCCTATCCCCTACTGAAAATAACAAATGGACATGAGGAACAAATGATGCCAATCTTTCAGTCGACAGTGATTTATAAACCACTACATTCAATTATTCACCTAACTCCTTCTCCAGGTCTACACGTAAAACAAAAACTACACACTCAGCAGTTTCACGAACACGTCAGTAACGATTAGCGAACTGAAACACTGGATCACATATACACACCAATATACTCTGGGAATCTGGAAATCCCTGTGTCGAAAACACCCGGCAGCAATGGTGGACACAGTAGGAAGTAACCAAACAACACGCTCGCTAACAGAATAACATGAGAGATTAAGAAAGACACCAAAAAATAACTTGCGCTTCCTTTTTACCCTAAAAAGTATAACAACACAAAGTCTGACACCTCCAATTCAATTCAATGCCACACATAAAACTACAGTTGACTGACAAAAATCAGCTATCCACAAATTACATCAGCCTGACTATTATACACACTGCTGTCCGCCTTTTATTTACTGCGGTTCTCTGTTTCACATAAATCATAAAAAAACAGAATTAAATTCAATTGTAAGCAACAGTCTAAAGAAAAGGATAAACTTTTACGAAGAGTGGCTACCTCAAATACAATATATAACTTCTTTCCAACTGGAACTTGTATGCCGTGATCAGTGTATCACGTCAAAGTGTCCCCGAATACGATGAAACACATGCACATTAACAAACAAATAATTCAGGGGCAGACCGACAACCGATAAACACCGAAATCACATCTTCAAATCAAATAAAACTAAACATACCTTAACAATTAAAGCTGTTCTACCGACCAGTTGACGTTCGTTACGATTACCTCTTCCCCGTCCACCTTCACCATTGCCACCACCAAAGTTCCGAGCACCACCACCTCCAACAGGTGTGACCGTTTTCACCGACATACCAGCTTCATTACTTCCTTGCTGATCATTTCCACCTTGCGAAGTCGTCAACACAGATAATTGACGAGTTTTGGCAACAACAAGTCCAGCATTCTCTAAATGTGTACGACAATAAATGAATGCCCACGAACGATATAGGTGTCTCACTTCACCGACTAATCCACAATGAGGTTTCTCTAATATACGAACCATTTGTTTCAACTGAATAGAATTCCCATTACGATCCAACGCCTGTGGTGGTGGTCGACGAACACTATTCAATCGACGCAATGCTGTATTCGACTTCAAATTGACCACCTTACCAAAACACGTCAAGACAGACACTTGATCCCGTTCCACATGGACAACAACACCAACCGTTTGAGGATCAACTTGTACTAGATCCATTAGTTGAACATGTCCAGATGACTCAACAGTTGTAGCACGATCTTGCCACAAACGTAAGTCTTTCGGAGCAACTTTCATTTCATTCATACTATGATCAGATAGGACAACAGCTAGAGTAGGATCGAAACGTATCACTAAACCAGTCTCATTAGCATGTCGACCACTGAGCACCTACAACACACAATGAGAACAGTGGAATAACAAATCACAATTGATAAACAAAAATATGAATCAATATATAATAGAAGCATAGAATAAGCGTAAAGAGACAATGAGAAAACCGATTACACAAAAAGTAGTATTACTTCATTGAGCAGAAATCCTTTGCAACCAAGAGAACGCACTAACTCACCTAGTGCACATTCGTGCACTATGCACAATCAGCCACACACATTGTGTGAGAGCTAATGACACTCCACATGGCTACCTAAACCACAGTAAGTAGAGTGAGACTCGAATCCAAGAAGTCAGCCGCCTACATCAATAACCAACAGCTCCCTATCTACATAACTCGTGTGTATTCAATTTTAATAAGAAACTTCAAAAGCGCTTGTAACGAACTTTGCTCGACAAGAAAATTCAACTACTAACATACTCGTATTCTTATAAGAAACACAAAATATGCGATAACAACAACTTCAAGTCGTTAGCCGTCAACCCTCAAAAGCATTGGCTAGTAGCGCAACCCTTCCCACAACGCATGTCACCTACAGACAATTAAAATAACCCTCAGAGGAAAACTGACATCCATGAGGTGGGAAGAAGTTGGAAATATGCTTTTCTTCGTTTCTTTCAGACATGACAAATATGCTTCGTTTACACACCATTTACCCATGCTAAACCTATTTAACCTGCATCTGACTGTTGAAGTAGGCTTTTAGAAAATAGAATAGAAAGGTCTTTGACACCAACTATATCATTAACTGACTGACTAACTGACTAACTGGAAAAATCAACTGAAAACCTCGCACACACATGCTTCGGCTCAACTTGCCACACTTCACAGGAGTATACAAAGAACAGGTGGATACGGAAAGACTGATATTAAAGATAAAGTAGTGAGAGAGAATAAAAAATCAGAGGATAAAGGTCAATGTGAATATTCAAGCTGTATCAGCAACAATAACGCTTCTGTGGTCAAGTAAACAGAAATAGACGTATAGTGCAATTCATGTACAATCGGAGTCACGCATTACTACTTCCTGCGTACCAGTCCAAGTTCACCATCATCATCAACAATATCAACATAGCACCAGCTATTACTCCATACCAGTTCAACTTCCCACACTTCACATCACCACATCAAGTAACAAAGCAATAAGATGAAAGATAAGGAAATAAAGAAGAATCCAACAAAACCAATACAAACCAGTAAAAAACAATAAGGAGGAATGAGGAGGTGCTGAATTCAGTATAACCAAAAACATGAAGATAGCTTATGCATGCGGATACATCTGCCTTGTTGACATCCATTCTGACTCATTTCACCTACACTTAATGTTATCAGCGTACCCAACCGCATAGTCTACACTCTCTACATGACTCAGACCAACAGTCAATCATTTCATGCACTGATGCCATGTTTTAGTCTCACCGTCTCCAACCCTTATGCAGCCTTAAACTAATTCCCCTACCCTAACACTGCACGACGATGCAGGCGGTGACTAGGCATGAGTAACACACGTCCCAGACAACTCAGTCGACGAATGCTCACAACCTCATCAACTCAATTTCCTCCCAACCCTCCTACAACTCTACAACTCACTTCTGCATTACCGACATGATGAAACACGGTCTATGCTTCGTAGCCAATGGTGGTCGAAAAACTGAAGCCTCCCCTTATCCTCTACTGTCACAACAAACTGAACTGTAGTGTAGTACACTCACCTCCCATTAGACAGTCGGATATCGCGGCGGCACCACAGATGCCACAAGTTAGTGAAAGCCGCTCAAGCCTTCTGTATCCGTGCACAGATTTCGTCGGTCACTGAGTCACCAGGGCTCACTTCACTCCCAAGGCAACTGAAGTGCTCAACACACTCACCACTTCATTACCTACTATTAGCTGAAGCACTTCTAAACACCAGTCCTGGAGCAACAATTTACATCTCAGTCGTGAGAAAAGCATCCCAAACAATAGCAAATTGACACTCAACGTCTTCAGAACACTCTACATCTGTTCAGCATCGTCACCTAAAAGAACTATGTCACCTCCGTACTCTAAATCTATCAAGGAGTTTCCTATGATTAAAACAATCACTGATATCAGATGACGCGAAGTAAACCCCTAGAAGAACATCTACGACAAGAGTGAACATGAATGAAGACTGGATATCCTTGACGGAAACCACTCCATGTAAACACCTCACCTGAAAACTAGTCATAGACACAAAAAAACGCCCAGCTGTTCGAGTAAACAGCCTTCAACAGAGTCATACACTTACTCCCCACCCCTTTCATTGACAGATACTGCTAGACCATTAATGCACACACAGTACTGCAGTTGACTACGAATTGTGCCTCTTCGAGTCTCTTATCGTTGACATCAGTTATCCCATGAACACCAATCACAAAGCCGATGTTCGCCTGTATGACTTCAGCCAGTAGTGCATGTATTTTTAAATAAGATCACTTTTGTGCTTTCCCCCGAATTAATCTGCCACTGGATGTAATTTCTTATTGCAGTACCACGCTAGAATGTGCTATACATCTATCATGTACACATCCAAATAAACCATGAAACACTGAATATACTCAAGTATCAATTATATGAACTTAGCACTTTTTACTGGATCTTATCACTTTCCCACTTCTCGGTCATCACGAAACCAACTGACAAGGGTAGTGTTCAGTGCAATTTACATATATATTGTGATATTCGATTACTCATCGCCACACAACTTCCATTTGGTAACATTACATTGGAAAGACTGGCTGCCAGTACAAAAAACGTTCAGTGGACGCGGAAAATACATCTAATTTCGCAGCAATACTACCTGAATATATATGTCCAATACAATGCTACACAAATTTCCACCACACCACCTTTTATTCATATCAAACGGGTATTCAAGAGACAATTCAGTGTCTCGGCATAAGAGTCCTTCAAGTCAACGATACTTTAGTTGACGCTTTACCGAGACTTTTGAAATGACAGAGTTTCGAAGACGGTCAACACCTCATGCATGACCACTCCCTATAGGGTTCTTTCTTCTCACGTATCTGGAAAATGAGGGTTAGTAATAGTAGTGAGTGGCCCCAGATCCCAAGCCACAATTGATTGACATCTCTCACACATAGCCCTTCCGGAAGTTTATGACTTCAGTCGGTTGCCTTCGATCTCAGCTGTAAACCAATACCACCTGCACTGGAAAACCGCAATACAAGATCCAGTCTACCATTTCCAAGGACAACCTTTCCAAACACCTCTTCCATAGGGAAGGCAACATCAGCATAGTACCATCGGTCAACAACAGGAAGCACCCTACTACTATCATACCCATCGACAAAAACTATCTACAAACAAACCTTTCTAGTATGGTAGGATATCAAGGTGACAAGTGTTCCCACCAGTAGAACTCGTTCAGTCACTGTGATATCCAACACCGATGATCACCACGTCAAGGTAGCAACTATCGGTACAATATTGAAAATCTTACAAAAAATTAGATACACTAGACACCTTCTGAATGAAAACCAGTGGGTGTAACATTCAAAGTCACATTGTCCAGATTTTCTAATCTAATACCGAATAGTTTCCGCAGATCAGCTCAAACCCAGAAAGAGAGAAACAGAGGAAGAAAGTGTTCTCAAGTGTTTATGCCAACCAAACAATACACTACAAAATTTGAAATCTCATGACGGGATAAACGTTGTTCGCAGGAAATATGCTGAGAACCTGTGCAATCTGATAACAATCCCAACACATCCTCATTTTGAGAAATTCACATAATGTGAAAGAGAATTAAAATAAATCAAATACTCAAGTCAGTATCGGATCCAAGAAATATTAAAATAATAACAAATTCAAAGTCATTTCAAATATAATAATAACAATACAGTCTTCTTGACATAAGATAAACGATGTAGTACATACCTTAACATGATCACCTTGACTGAAAAATTTTCTCAGTTCAATCGGTGTAAAAGGTATCGGTTCATGTAGATCAGAATGATTCGGTTGAACAATAATTCTGTTATTGCCTTCAATTGAAACCACTTTACCACGAAGATTTTTAAGATCCCCTTCGCATACTTCAACAACATCTCCAGGTGTGAAACAATGACTTAACGTTACCTCTGCATTACTAGCTGTAGTCAATGTAGCCGCAGCGTTAGCAGCTATCTGTAGACTATCCGGAGTATGATGGAATCGTTCGAGTTCAGCTAGAGTTGGTCGAATACCTTCAGTAAACTGGAAACAGAAAACCAAGTTCAACATTGAGAAATGTATCATATCAATGTTGCACAGAATAGTCAAATAGTATAAATGAGTTCATTCTTACTGAAGTGAGAGAGATGTCTTCAATAAACTCCTTTCTAGCGAAATAAATAGATGGGCACAATGAGAAATCTATTCAAATGCCCAACAGTTAATCGGCTCAAGGTATCATACTTCTACAAACAGCGTTAATACAGAGGATCACAAGAAGAATTACGGAGGGATATCAAAGCATAAAAGACAAATAAAGAAGAATGCAAAGTGTTCAAAAACTAAATTAAAGTCAATATGGTCATGATTCGATTCTGACCACCCCAAGAACTCTTCAGAAGTCCAGTTCATACTCGAACATATGACTCCAAGTCACAACAAGTAACTTCGCGAAAAGGTTTCATTGTCTCGGAGATCTCCAACATGTTCACTAACCACCTTTAATTTAAAAAGGATCGATTCACCATGGAAAAAACAATGTTAGCAAGCAGATTCTGTGCTACAACACGAAATTAACTTAAACTACTTTTCAACTACAACGTTGCGATGTGACAAACAAATTTTGATAGAAGAATACTTCACTCTACAGATTTGTATATTTACTAAAATATCTTAATTCCGTTAGTTTCAGTTTCAGCTAATTGTACAACATGTGAACGACTGACGAGTTACAAATCAGATTGACACAATGATTTCGTGCCTACTATTACCTTCGTCAAGTGTTATTGTGTTTAATACATGTTCATATAAAGAGATTCTTATGTTCCTGAGAAGATATAGCAACACGCTTGACTGATAGCTAACTTCGTACGCCAGATCTACCGACTCCAACCACAAACGAAATAGAGAAGACTGAACCAGATGCAAGAGTTTACTACCTTAAAGAAGAATAGTCAATTAACCCGAAAACACGTGTATATATCTATACATGACACACGACCTTGTCCAGAACTTGAAACATTAACACAGTAAAAGCAAGCACTAACCAATCAGCGAATTACACTGAAAACAGGGGGGAAATGAACTACTAGCCATACCATGAAAATGGTGCAAAAACAATAATATAAAAATGTTTAGATTATTAAACAATGTTCTATGCAGATCTAGGCGTTTACAACACAGACAATGTGATATACTCAACACACCACTGCACGTGATAACAAGCTTCACTCATCACGTTTACCAAGGATACTGATACTTCTTCATTGTAATAATGCAGCAATAAGTTTGAGCATAGTTATGGTCGTCCAATAAAAAAAATGCGTGGTTTCATATGATGGTGTCTCCGTGAGATCACACACCACCACAACTAACTAAACAAAACACGCAAGTCAGTTGATGCGTCTGTGAACCTTCACGCATTCAGATGGCTCACACATGTGTTACGCATGCCCAATCACTGTCTACCACGTCGTCGTCCAATGAATACCAACTGAAGAAAGTCCAAGATGGAGAAAGGTTAGACGCAGATACACTAAAACATAACATCAGTCCATGATGTCTGTAACTGATGAATTGAAGCATGCAGGGAAATGCAGACTACCCGATTGGGGTCCGTATGACAACCAAAGTTGTTATTGGTTAGAGACCATTTCATATGGTTCAGAATAAATGTCAACACAATATCCACACCTTAATCATCACACTCAATTCCATGACTATTTCACTCTTTCTACTCTTCTCACGAATTTCGATTTCTTCCACTGCTTTCTTCCTTATTTCCCCACCTTTTGTTATCATCTAACCTTAGTGTGTTGATATGTGTGACAATTTAGACAGTTAAGTAGTGATACCATGTCATATGTTGATGTTGACTAACTGTGGCTCGACACAAAATACACATTTGTTCCCAATTTAACCAGAAAAGTCTAATGTAAAAGGGATATACAATCATAACTTTATATCTAAACCGAGGTGGGTAGAATTCATAGTTGAAAGCCATATGAGTAGAATATAATTACTCACAGCTCAGCAAAAAACAAAATATCATGCTGAATCTCCCAAAAGACAAGCAGTTTACTCCTTTGAAATAATGTTACAATACAAAAAATTTCACTACTTATTCAGTGATAATCAATACATCAGAGTATGAACGCTTTCCTATGCTATTTTATACACATACAAGTTTACCCATCGAAAACTCAGTTCCACTGTGCAGTACAGAGTGATTTCTTTTCCTCCACACAGCTGAATCACGATCTCTGAAGACGAACGGAACACTAAACCACAAATATTCACTCGAATGTGTTCGAATCAATTTCTACATGTGGCAAACAAAGTTGGAACTATAACTATATTTTGCATAAGTACGGTCATTAATTGCAAGTTTACGTCGTTTGTTCAGTCTATTAATAAATAACACTCAACTGAAATCACTATCAGATGTTTTATATATTAGGCTATGATATTATCCAGTTGACCAGGTCGAAGTAGGAGGAGAAACAATGAGTAGTGACATTTTCAGGATAAAATGAGTTCATCAAATAGATATTTCTCAATCCTTCAGGATAATCAACAAACAAAGAGCCCCACGGTTTACTATGGTTTGTCGAAGCTCTCGCCATCAAACATTTTCAACTTAATCTAAGCACTTAGAAACAGATTACAACTAACCTTTCGTTACCCTAATAACTGCAAAAACCTTTCTACGTATATATTTATAAATTTTTCTGATTTCGATTGCATCATCTCTCTATTAATTACTTGCCAACTACTAATAACTCAACCTAACGATTTCTCAGTTTCTTCATGTGATTACGCAACCTAATTACCCATATTTTTCGCACTCTTCTCTCTTCACTGTCATCCCGTTTCCACAGCTGCAAATGTTTCTATCTCATCAAACATAAATTGTCATTGATTTTGACTAGGGTTTGTGGTTATTAACCCTGTTTTTCCTCGACTCACTATCTTATTGTCAATCCTGAATTTAAAATCTTCATTTATTTCTACATATTTAAAGCATGTTATGTCAGGATTGCTACTAATACTTCACTCCAATTGTGGACTGTTTGCAGCTCATGAAAGATCAAGAAATGTAATCAGCTCACTTTATTCTGCAAAGTTTTCTGTTCTTGCACTCTTCAGATTTATTCAACATGAATTGACTTGAAATACAAAAATTAACTATCTCATAATGCTTAAACAGCGTAATGCGAAGACGAATATTATCTGAAACATGTGATGTATTAGCGCTATACATTTCGAACAATCTGATCAAACATGGACTTGTCGAACTATTTTTATGAAAATTTACGAAAAAGGTCAATGAAGTTAATTTTCATAGCTATTGCCCAGTCCAATATAAACGTGGTTTAGTCAGATGCTTACTCAACAGGATAAACCGCATCTGAACCGATGACACCAGGGAGGAAGAAACCAACTTACTGATGACAACTCTGGCACAGAATGGATACCCGTTGAGATTTATCGACCGGTGCAAAAGTTATGTACCATTGAAAAGTACACAGTGTTCCGTTGCTAAGAAAAATGTCTACATTTCATTACCATTTAGAGATGATTCACATAGCTTTGTTGTGAGGAAAAGGCTTAGATCGGCCATCTGTAAGGTCGTCATTGTAGAAAAGACAAAGTCCATGTTACAGCACAAACCGAAACAATATATAAACGGTTACATCACATCCCACTGTGTTTATCAATTTACATGTATGTGTGGACACACATATATAGGGAGGAGTAATCATGATATGCAGTTAAGGAAGGTTGAACATGTACCTAAGTGGCTACAAAAACAAATGACCTCAACAGATCCGATAAGTGCAGGTGACAAACATCCATCTTCGTCTATCGTTAAACATATACTAGAAACTAACCATAGGATAGACATGAAAACAGCCTTTAAAGTACTACATAAAAGTGGTCAGAGCCGAGTGCTTAAATTTATTGAAGCTCTTGCCATCCATAAATTTAAACCCACTTTATGTATACAAAAACAATTCGTACTCAGGTTGAACCTACCTTGGTAGTACTGATTTTAATTCCATATTGGGTTTGTTTAATTAAATTTTGAGGGAGTTGTGGAGATTTGGAATTATTTCAAGTTGTTATTCATCGTAGACTGACATCAGTTGGAGGAACAAAGGAAACCTGGGGTCGTGGGTGCGCACTGCTGAGGAGTCCCATAATAGGACGAAACGGCTGTCCAGTGTTCCCAGGTTTCCTTTGTTCCTTCAACTGATGTCAGTCTAGGTTTGTTTATTTGATATATAGCGCACAGTGATACAGTGTTATTTACTTGATTACGTTTTGAGCATAAATTATTGCTCATAATCATATGAGCAATAATTTATGCTCGAAACGTAATCAAGTAAATAATACTGTATCACTGTGCGCTATATATCAAATAAACAAATCTAATATGGAATTACATTCTACCACAGTGCCCAAGTTTTACACTTACAGTACTGATTTTAATTTTCATACTAAGAGTAGGGTTTCTCTTTCTTTTTTTCCATCCCTTCCTATTCTTATGTTTCCTATTAACTTCATTGACCTTTTTCGTAAATTTTCATAAAAATAGTTCGATAAGTCCATGTTTGATCAGATTGTTCGAAATGTATAGCGCTAATACATCACAACATGTTTCAGATAATATTCG